CATCCCCTTAAAGACGTCTTTATGATGTCTTTTAGATATGTGTGCTGTCTGGGATGTGTATGGCAGAACCATTACCCAACGAATTGTAAAACCGTCACCATTAAAGTCATACAATAAAGTGTATTAAAAACAATCCTGTCGGTGAAAATTGCAGAGAACTTTTGTATTTGTCTCTATTTCACAGTAGACGATATCACCTCGAATTTAATATTATGTTTATTCATTTGTTCAATCAGAGATGTTTTACCAAATGCAGCACCGGGAGTGAGCACGCCTCCGCTGTAAAAACATAATAACATGAAAATAAAGTTGAAGTTTGACATGTAAATATAATTGTGTTTTAATTACTTATATTAAAATCTCCAAAACTGCGAAATATTCAAGAAGTGAGTGTAGGGTAAAAACATGAGAATTATTAATGATTCACTCACTTGTCAGGCATTTTGTCAGTCTCGTTAAGGATTGTTATTGCCGACAAGATCGCTATAATACTGGTCGCTTCGTATGCAGGAGACACACCGGAAACTTTGGTGATTACTGTCTTATTCGGTGGATTTGTGTGTTTGTCGGTAGGTTCGGTCAACTCCTCGGTCCATCCACGGGCTTTGATCGTCACAGAAAATTGCATCGATTTCCATGCTTCCGGATGCGGTTGTTCGTGAGTGATATAACCCAATGTAAATAGCGAGGGATGCTGCAAATATCGCGGTTAATAATCTCGCATTATCTAAATAACTTTGACACTTGTAAATATTTCGATACGTACTTTCAAAAGTAACTCACGGCTGTACCCTGTGCGCGTCATGAGCCAAAATATTATTCCCATAAGGAAGAACTTCACCAAATTATAGAGAGACCTAATAATAAATGTACGTTAGCAAAAATTATTTTTCAACATTTGTGACATTTTTATCGATGTATGTATACTAACGTAAACGTAGCATAAAGTTGAACTTGCACAGGCCTCTGTTTGTATTTGTCATACAAGAATCGCTGTGTACGAAGAGCTAGTGGACCATCGGAACTGTACCGAAGCGGTACAGACCATCCTTCAGAAACGTCACTTCGATGCACTAGACCTCTGGCAATGAACAAAATTATTAATGCTGTTTATCATCAGTATAATCACTACTTCTTCTTTTTTTTGGTTGACAAAATATAATTTATAATTATACACGTAATGATTAGACATATACGTACCTTGATTTTAATTTTGGCGTGAATTTAGGAAGTTTGGTAGGATACAATTTGTTGCGTAATGTTGGTAATTTGTTTGCATATGCCACAATATATATCATAGACTCCCAACTTCCACAATTCAAATAAGGACCTTTGTTATCAGTGTTGGTTAACCATGTCTTCATGTATATGTCAACATCATTGACTTCTCCTCCAAATTTTTCTTGTGTGAAAAGGATTCCCAAATCACTAAGAAGACATTCAAAGCCGCAAGAACTCACTACGTAAATTCCAGCTTCTTTAGCTGCCTCGTTATATTTCAATTGCATTTCCATCATAAACTGTAAAATATTGAAATTATCAATCAACTGTTATTGTACTGTTGCAGATGTATGGTATATTGAACTTACATATTCTTCACCAGAGACATCAACATAATGAGTGCGAGTAGCAATGCACGCTTTAACAACTGGTTCTCCATAAAGTGTATATGGACCACAACAATTAATTAGTACTCTTGCTTGCTTTGTTATTTTTCTGAGAGATTCCTCATCTTTTACGTCAGCCAGAAAAATAGGTACATTCTCTAAAAATATATATATATGTAGTATAAAAGCTAATAATAAATAAAGTGGCTTTCTGTCTTTTGGTATAACCCATACAGCACAAATTGTTACAGAAAGGTTTCAGAAAGGTTTCAAAATTATTTCAATATTTCACATTTCATGCTCAACATTTCTGACAAAATTCTGCAATATGTCATATGAAATGATGCAACAGAAATGTTTCAGAAATCTATCATATGCAATAAATTTGAAAAAGTAATGCGAATATTACAGAAAGATTTTTCTTGCTTTTTTAGTCACATATATGGAACGTTGAAATGCTTGCCGCGCGGCAAAAGACGACACGGTAGCCAATCAACTTACAACTTTTGTAAAAGTATAATAACCCAGATAGCACATGGACGTCCACAGGATGTCCGATGGACGGCCGCATCTGGACATTCGGACGTCCAAAGTACGTCCATTTATGGCCCGTAGGATGTCCATTGGACGCCCATGGGATGTCCAAAAGACACTGCTTTAGAGATCCATAGGACGT